ATCTTTTCTAGTGCCTATTGCCCATCTGTATACCCTCTTTGGAGAAATGTCTATTTAGGCCTTCTGCCCATTTTTTGAGTGGGCTGTTTGTTTTGATGCTGTTAAGCATCATAAGTTATTTGTAAATTTTAGACACTAATCCCTTACCAGTCACATCATTTGCAAATATTTTCTCCCTATCTATGGGTTGTCTTTTCGTTTGTTTTGCATTTCCTTTGCTGTGCAAAACTTTTGTATTTAAGTAGATCCCATTTATTTTTGTTTTTATTTCCATTATTCTGGGAGATAGATTGAAAAAGATGTTGCTGTGATTTATGTCAGAGACTGTTCTGCCTGTGTTTTCCTCTAGGAGTTTTATAGTGTTCAGTCTCACTTTTAGGTCTTTAATCCATTTTGAGTTTATATTTGTGTATGGAGTTAGAGAATGATCTAATTTTATTTTTTTACATGTGGCTGTCCAGTTTTCCCTGGCTTGGAGAATTTTGAGCATTACTTTACCAGCGTGTGAGATGAGTGCAATTGTGTAGTAGTTTGAGCATTCTTTGGGATTGCCTTTCTTATGGATTGGAATGAAAACTGACCTTTTCCAGTCCTGTGGCCACTGCTGAGTTTCCCAGATTTGCTGGCATATTGAGTGCAGCACTTTCACAGCATAAACTTTCAGGATTTGAAATAGCTCAACTGGAATTCCATCACATCCACTAGCTTTGTTCAGAGCGATGCTTTCTAAGGCCCACTTGACTTCACATTCCAGTGGCTCTAGATGAGTGATCACACCATTGTGATTATCTGGGTCGTGAAGATCTTTTTTGTACAGTTCTTCTGTGTATTCTTGCCACCTCTTCTTAATATCTTCTGCCTCTGTTAGGTCCATACCATTTCTGTCCTTTATCGAACCCATCTTTGCATGAAATGTTCCCTTGGTATCTGTAATTTTCTTGACGACATCTCTAGTCTTTCCCATTCTGTTGTTTTCCTCTATTTCTTTGCATTGATCACTGAGGAAGGCTTTCTTATCTCTCCTGGCTGTTCTTTGGAACTCTGCATTCAAATGGGTATATCTTTCCTTTTCTCCTTTGCTTTTCGCTTCTCTTCTTTTCACAGCTATTTGTAAGTCCTCCTCAGACAGCCATTTTGCCTTTTTGCATTTCTTTTCCATGGGGATGGTCTTGATCCCTGTCTCCTGTACAATGTCAGAAACCTCCGTCCATAGTTCATCAGGCTCTATGTCTATCAGATGTTCAAGCTGGTTTTAGAAAAGGCGGAGGAACCAGAGATCAAATTGCCAATATCTGCTGGATCATCAAAAAAGTAAGATAGTTCCAGAAAAACATCTATTTCTGCTTTATTGACTATGTCAAAGCCTTTGACAGTGTGGATCACAATAAACTGTGGAAAATTCTTAAACAGATGGGAATACCAGACCATCCGACCTGCCTCTTGAGAAACCTGTATGCAGATCAGGAAGCAACAGTTAGAACTGGACATGGAACAACAGACTGGTTCCAAATAGGAAAAGGAGTACATCAAGGCTGTATATTGTCACCCTGCTTATTTAACTTATATGCAGAGTACATCATGAGAAACGCTGGGCTGGAAGAAGCACAAGCTGGAATCAAGATTGCCGGGAGAAATATCAATAACCTCAGATATGCAGATGACACCACCCTTATGGCAGAAAGTGAAGAGGAACTAAAAAGCCTCTTGATGAAAGTGAAAGAGGAGAGTGAAAAAGTTGGCTTAAAGCTCAACATTCAGAAAACTAAGATCATGGCATCTGGTCCCATCACTTCATGGCAAATAGATGGGGAAACAGTGGAAACAGTGGCAGACTTTATTTTTGGGGGCTCCAAAATCACTGCAGATGGTGACTGCAGCCATGAAATTAAAAGACGCTTACTCCTTGGAAGGAAAGTTATGACCAACCTAGACAGCATATTAAAAAGCAGAGACATTACTTTGCCAACAAAGGTCTGTCTAGTCAAGGCTATGGTTTTTCCAGTGGTCATGTATGGATGTGAGAGTTGGACTGTGAAGAAAGCTGAGCGCCCAAAAAATTGATGCTTTTGAACTGTGGTGTTGGAGAAGACTCTTGAGAGTCCCTTGGACTGTGAGGAGATCCAACCAGTCCATCCTAAAGATCAGTCCTGGGTGTTCATTGGAAGGACTGATGCTGAAGCTGAAACTCCCAATACTTTGGCCACCTCATGCGAAGAGTTGACTCATTGGAAAAGACCCTGATGCTGGGAGGGATTGGGGGCAGGAGGAAAAGGGGGCAACAGAGGATGAGATGGCTAGGTGGCATCACTGACTCAATGGGCATGAATTTGAGTAAACTCCGGGAGTTGGTGATGGACAGGGAAGCCTGGTGTGCTGCGATTCATGGGGTCGCAAAGAGTTGGACACGACTGAGCGAGTGACCTGAACTGTCCAGTTTTCCCAGCACCATTTGTTAAGACTGTCTTTCCAACATTGTATAGTCTTGCCTCCTTTATGATAGATTAATTAACCATAGGTGCATGGGCTTATTTCTGGGTTTTCTGTCCTATTCCATTGTTCTATATTTCTATTTTTGTACCAGTACCATACTGCTTTAATGATTGTAACTTTCTGGTATAGTCTGAAGTCAGGAAACCTGATTGCGCCAGCTCCATTTTTCTTTTTCAAGATGGCTTTGGCTATTCAGGGCCTTTTGTGTCTCCATACAAATTTTGAGATTTTTTTTGTTCTAGTTCTATGAAAAATGCCACTGGTAATTTGATAAGGATTGCATTGAATCTGTAGATTGCCTTCAGTAGTATCATCATTTTGACTATTGATTCTTCCAATCCATGAACATGGTATATTTTTTCCATCTGTTTAAGTCTTCTTCAATTTCTTTCATCAGAATCTTACAGTTTCTGGAGTACAAGTCTTTTATCTCCTTTTAGGTAGATTTATTCCTAGGTATACTATTCTTTTTAATATCATCTGCTTCTGTTAGGTCCATACCATTTCTGTCCTTTATTGTGCTCATTTTTGCATGAAATGTTCCCTTGGTAACTAATTTTCTTGAAGAGATCTCTAGTCTTCACCATTCTATTGTCTTCCTCTATTTCTTTACATTGATTGCTGAGGAAGGCTTTCTTATCTCTCTCTGCTGTTCTTTGGAACTCTGCATTCAAATGGGTATATCTTTCCTTTTCTCCTTTGCCTTTAGCTTCTTTTCTTTTCTCAGCTATTTGTAAGACCTCCTCAGACAACCATTGTGCCTTTTTGCATTTCTTTTTCTTAGAGATGGTATTGATCACTGCCTCCTGTACAATGTCATGAACCTCCATCCATAGTTCTTCAGGCACAGTCTATCAGTTCTAATCCCTTGAATCTATTTGTCACTTCTACTGTATAATTGTAAGGGATTTGATTTAGGTCATACCTGAATGGTCTAGTGATTTTCCCTACTTTCTTCAACAGAAGCAGAAGATATTAAGAAGAGGTGGCAAGAATACACAGAAGAACTGTGCAAAAAAGATCTTCATGACCCAGATAACCACAATGGTGTGATCAGTCACCTACAGCCAGACATCCTGGAATGCGAAGTCAAGTGGGCCGTAGAAAGCATCACTACGAACAAAGCTAGCGGAGGTGATGGAATTCCAGTTGAACTATTTCAAATTCTAAAAGATGATGCTGTGAAAGTGCTGCACTCAATATGCCAGCAGATCTGGGAAACTCAGCAGTGGCCACAGGACTGGAAAAGGTCAGTTTTCATCCCAATCCCAAAGAAAGGCAGTGCCAAAGAATGTTCAAACTTCTGCACAATTGCACTCATCTCTCACACTAGCAAAGTAATGCTCAAAATTCTCCAAGCCAGGCTTCAACAGTATGTGAATCATGAACTTCCAGATGTTCAAGCTGGATTTAGAAAAGGCAGAGGAACCAGAGATCAAATTGCCAACATCCACTGGATCATCATAAAAGCAAGAGAGTTTCAGAAAAACATGTACTTTTGCCTTATTGACTATGCCACAGCCTTTGACTGTATGGATCACAACAAACTGGAAAATTCTTCAAGAGATGGGACTACCAGACCACCTGACCTGCCTCCTGAGAAATCTATATGCAGGTCAAGAAGCAACAGTTAGAACTGGACATGGAACAACAGACTGGTTCCAAGTCAGGAAGGAGTATGTCAAGACTGTATATTGTTATCCTGCTTATTTAACTTACATGCAGAGTACCTCATGCGAAATACTGGACTGGATGAAGCACAAGCTGGAATCAAGATTGCCGGGAGAAATATCAGTAACCTCAGATATGCAGACGACACCGCCCTTATGGCAGAAGAAGAACTAAAGAGTCTCTTGATGAAAGTGAAAGAGGAGAGTGAAAATGTTGGCTTAAAACTCAACATTCGGAAAACTAAGATGATGGCATCTGGTCCCATCACTGCATGGCAAATAGATGGGGAAACAACGGAAACAGTGAGAGACTTTATTTTGGGGGGCTTCAAAACCATGAAATTAAAAGACGCTTGCTCCTTGGAAGAAAAGCTGTGGCCAACCTAGACAGCATATTAAAAAGCAGAGGCATTACTTTACCAACAAAGGTCCATCTAGTCAAAGCTATGCTTTTTCCAGTAGTCATGTATGGATGTGAGAGTTGGACTATAAAGAAAGCTGAGGGCTGAAGAATTGATGCTTTTGAACTGTGGTGTTGGAGAAGCTCTTGAGAGTCCCTTGGACTGCAAGGAGATCCAACCAGTCCATCCTAAAGGAAATCAGTCCTGAATATTCACTGGAAGGACTGATGCTAAAGCTGAAACTCCAGTACTTTGGTCACCTGATGTGAAGAACTGACTCACTGGAAAAGACCCTGATGCTGGAAAAGATGGAAGGTGGGAGGAGAAGAGGATGACAGAGGATGACATGGTTGGATGTCATCACGGACTCATGGCCATGAGTTGAGTAAGCTCCAGGAGTTGGTGACAGACAGGGAAGCCTGGCGTGCTGCAGTCCATGGGGTTCCAAAGAGTTGGACACGACTGAGCGACTGAACTGAACTGATTCTATTCTTTCTGATGTAATAGTAAATGGAATTGCTTCTTGAACTTCTCTTTCTGATCTTTCATTGCTAGAGTATAGAAATGCAACAGATTTCTGTGTATTAATTTTGTAATCTGCAACTTTACCAAATTAATTGATGACTTCCAGTAGTTTTCTGGTAGCGTCTTTAGGATCTTCTATGTATACTCTCATGTAATCTGCAAACAGTGATGGTTTAATTTCTTGTTTTCCAGTTTGGATTCCCTTTACTTATTCTTCTTCACTGATTGCTGTTAGCTGTGATCTTAAATGTCATCCTGAACAGAACACCATTTGGCACATGGTAGGTGTTCAACATATGCCTATTGTCAAAATAGTGTTAGCTTTCAGATACATGGCCCTTAAAGAACAACTGACAAAATCTTAGACCAGAGAAATTTTCCTCATTTTTTTTTATACATTTTGAATAGGACTCTGTTTCCTGTCACACTTACAAGGCTGTTCATCCTGGGTATAGGATGATATTTCATGGTTTGGTCTTATTTTGCATTGTGCTTATGGATGTCAAATTTCAGTTGTGTCACACATTACCATTTACTGCTTTTACAACAACTTCTCCTCACATTCATGTAGTTTCCAAACAAAAATATGAAAAGATGGTGTGCTATTCATAACCATCCTCAGCTCCATGTTGAATGATGTGTATATTTACTTCAGTTTATTACAAAGTCTACTTATAGGATGTATAGCATGCAATTTATAAAACTAAAGTATATAATTTTCTTTATTGTAAATTTTTTATAGCCAGCTGATCCTCATGAAATGCTTTCATTGAATTTTCCCAAATCTTGAATCAAGAACCAAATGTGTGGTGACATTTGACAAATAAATACAGGCATACCTTGGAGATATTGTGGGCTCGGTTTCAGACCATCACAATAAAGCAAATATTGCAATAAAGTGAGTCATGAATATTTTGGTTCTTAGGCGTGCAGTAGCATTATACCTAAAAAACAATAATACATACCTTAATTAAAAAATATTTTGTTGCTAAAAAATGCTAACCACCATCTGAACCTTCAGTGAGTTGTAATCTTTTTACAATAGTAGCATGAAAGATCACTGACCACAGATCACTATAACAAATATGATAGTAATAACAAAGTTAAAAATATTGTGAGAATTACCAAAATGTGACACAGAAACACAAAGTGAGCAAATGTGGTTGGAAAAAGTTTATGCTGGTAGACTCAAACCTTCAGTTTTTAAAAAGCACAGTGTCTGCAAAGTGAAAAAAAGTAAAGGGCAATAAAATGAGGGATGCCTGTATAGCTTTGATTGCTGGTTGACATTTTCATATGCATTCATAAAGTGAAAGTGAAGCAAAGAGACATGTTGGAACTTCACTTATTTGTCAGTGACTTGAGCAACATCTTTGCTGAATGGGATAATAGTTTTTGAATACTGGGGAAATATTTCAATTTTTTGTGCTTTTGACAATGGCTGCAGATATGATACATTTTTAAACTTAATGTACATTATTAACATTTTCTTGATCACTTTCTTAAGCCTAAACAGTTGGCAAAGCAAATAAATTGACTGTTTGTAGTATTTGCCAGTTTCTGTAGTGTAATTCTTTCACCATAGTTAATTTAAAACTACCAGTGTGACATCACTGATCATGAAATTGGGAAGAGATGAACATACCATCACATAGTATTTCCTCCATACAGATGTAATAGACAGGGACTCTGGTTTCCAGTATGACATACAAAGAGCTTAGAAGTTATCACTCTTGTTCTCACAACAAAAAAGTTGAACAAACTGAAAATCAATAACCCTTCTTAGATCCATCAGAGAATCAAAGTGACAGGGCAAACCTCGACCACAAAAAAGAAGAATCAGAACAGGCAGAACACAGAATCGTGGCTTACTAGGAGCAAATTCATGGAACCAGTAACTGATATAAATATTTAAGAGACAATTGACTAACTACTGGAGACTGAACATGAACTTGATTGAAAAATTATGAGAAACAAAAACTCCTTAGTGCCCAGCCTAAGCAGATACCCACATTTTCATGAGTTTTACTCTCAGAGCCCCACAGGTCTTACTATGAAGATAGGAGAAAAATCCTTTCATCCTTCCAATGGGGAGAGTGAAAAGTAGCGATTCTGAAATATACTAGAGCGTTCAGTTCTCCTTAAAAAAGACCTTCCCTCAAGGGAAACTATTCAACAGAGCCTGACCAAGTGGGAGAAGGAAAATAAGCCAACTCCAGTTTCCTGTAGCTGTCTTGTTTCATGTGAGAGGGAAAAAAGACAAAAAGCATCTATGAAGGTCAGAGTATGGGGACACAATCTCACTAAAAGAATGAGACCTGTAGGACACTTCCCCCTCCCTCCCTTTACCAACACATCAGTTGAGTTCCTTCAACGGGTGATTTGTCTGAAAGAACTATAAACTCAGACCCTATTAAGGAGTTTCTAGGGAAACCCAAAGACATCAGAGGAAACAAGAACATCAGAGGAAATTTGACACCGACAGCTTTAGCAAACAGGAAACAGCCTAACTCCCAGCCAGACAAACATAGAACCTCAGTTCCTTTTACCAAATATATCATGTCTCACTTTCTGCAAAAAATTACAAGGCATGCTAAAATACAAAAAATACAGTCTAGATATTTTCCTGGCAGTCCTGTGGTTAGGCTCCATGCTTCCACTGCAGAGGGGCCCAGGCTCAATGCTTAGTCAAAGAACTAGGATTCCACATGTCCTGGGGCGTGGCCAAATATACAAATACATAATGGACAACTGGACAAATATATATTTGGCCATGCCCCAGGGCATTTGAGATATATATATATATATATATATATATATACACAAAGCAAGCATTAGAATCAGACCCATATACAGCAGAAACTGGAAATGTAACATTAATATCCTAAGGGCTCTAATGGAAAAAATGGACACCATGAAAGAATCAGTGAGTGATATAAGCAGAGAGATGAAAACTCTTAAGAAAGAATCAAAAGGCTAGAAATCAAAAGCACTATAACAAATAAAAAATGCCTTGATGGGCTAACACTACCCTGGACATGACCAAGGAAAGAATCAAGGAGTTTGAAGATATGTCAGTAGAAACTTCCCAAACTGAAAAGCAAAGAGGAAAAGGAATGAAAACAACAGAACAGAATATCTAGATACAGTAGATGCAAATAACTTCATGAACATAGATAATAGTAAAATAAAATAATTAGGAAAAGATGAATTTTTAGTATTCACTACTGGCATGCTCCAATCCATGGAGTTGCAAAGAGTCAGACATGACTGGGCAACTGAACAACCACCACCATTATTTTTAATAAGTATATTTTATTCAATTGTAAGTTTAGATAATCTGTAGATTATCTGTAACAGCAAGAACAATAATAATAATGGGTTAACAACCAGCTCACAAAATTCCTGAAAACTTAGCAAGTAGTTCTCAAAAGTCAATGTGAACTGGCTTAGCACATTACTCTTGAAATAACTTAAAGACTTATTGAAAGTACCATATTCAGATTTATTAATGCATTATATACATATATAAGGTTCTATTATATGCAGAACACATGCTGAGGAAGTTTGCATATGTTATATAATTCTGTTAACTATGAAATAGATATCATAGCCCTTTTTAAATTAATCAATTCAAAGTCAGACACCTAGAATATGGCAAAATTAAGATTTGAGCCCACATCAGTGGCTTCCTTGGTGGATCAGACAGTAAAGAATCTGCGTGCAGTACAAGAGACCCAGGTTTGATCCCTGGGTCAGGAAGATCCCCTGGAGAAGCGAATGGCAACCCACTCCAGGATTCTTGCCTGGAGAATTCCATGGACAGAGGAGCCTCGCAGGCTATACAGTCCATGGGATCACAAAGAGTTGGACAGAACTGAGTGACTAACACTTTCACTTCACTTTTTTTGGTGCTCTTTCTACTCACTACTTTCTGAAGCTTACAGTATAAAGAAGACTAGGACAAGAAAAAGGGTAACAAGCACTTGGTTCATCAATTTTTCTTAAGTTATTTTGTCCACTGCCATTCCATCCCTACTGTGAACCCGTAAATCCTGTGCCTCCTCAGACAATGGGAGTTTCATTGTCTTCAGGACATTCAGTTCAGTTCAGTTCAGTCGCTCAGTCGTGTCCAACTCTTTGGAACCCCATGGACTGCAGCACGCCAGGCTTCCCTGTCTGTCACCAACTCCTGGAGCTTACTCAACTAATGGCCATGAGTCCGTGATGACATCCAACCATGTCATCCTCTTCTCCTCCCACCTTCCATCTTTTCCAGCATCAGGGTCTTTTCCAGTGAGTCAGTTCTTTACATCAGGTGACCAAAGTACTGGAGTTTCAGCTTTAGCATCAGTCCTTCCAGTGAATATTCAGGACTGATTTCCTTTAGGATGGACTGGTTGGATCTCCTTGTAGTCCAAGGGACTCTCAAGAGTCTTCTCCAACACCACAGTTCAAAAGCATCAATTCTTCAGCCCTCAGCTTTCTTTATAGTCCAACTCTCACATCCATACATGACTACTGGAAAAAGCATAGCTTTGACTAGATGGACCTTTGTTGGTAAAGTAATGCCTCTGCTTTTTAATATGCTGTCTAGGTTGGCCACAGCTTTTCTTCCAAGGAGCAAGCGTCTTTTAATTTCATGGTTTTGAAGCCCCCCAAAATAAAGTCTCTCACTGTTTCCGTTGTTTCCCATCTATTTGCCATGCAGTGATGGGACCAGATGCCATCATCTTAGTTTTCCGAATGTTGAGTTTTAAGCCAACATTTTCACTCTCCTCTTTCACTTTCATCAAGAGACTCTTTAGTTCTTCTTCTGCCATAAGGGCGGTGTCGTCTGCATATCTGAGGTTACTGATATTTCTCCCGGCAATCTTGATTCCAGCTTGTGCTTCATCCAGTCCAGTATTTCGCATGAGGTACTCTGCATGTAAGTTAAATAAGCAGGATAACAATATACAGTCTTGACGTACTCCTTCCTGACTTGGAACCGGTCTGTTGTTCCATGTCCAGTTCTAACTGTTGCTTCTTGACCTGCATATAGATTTCTCAGGAGGCAGGTCAGGTGGTCTGGTAGTCCCATCTCTTGAAGAATTTTCCAGTTTGTTGTGATCCATACAGTCAAAGGCTGTGGCATAGTCAATAAGGCAAAAGTACATGTTTTTCTGAAACTCTCTTGCTTTTATGATGATCCAGCGGATGTTGGCAATTTGATCTCTGGTTCCTCTGCCTTTTCTAAATCCAGCTTGAACATCTGGAAGTTCATGATTCACATACTGTT